ATAGCGGGGAAAATACCGAAAGAAGAAAGAAAAATGGCGAAGAAAAAGCCTCCGTTCTCAGTGACTTGTAAATCGATTTCGGACGAGTTTCCCGTAGGCATCTTACCAATCACCGCTACCGAAGATACGGCTGCATATGTGTACCCATGTATGCATGCAGCATCACGGCCGCTTCATACCAATCCCTTCGCTTCATAATTTGCTTAGCAAATGAATGAATACGAGCGTCAGGAACGGTCGTCCATTTGTGGGCGGGCGGGCGTGGCGGGCGTTGGGACGTAAAGTTGTGGCTTGATAGGGCCCTTATAAGGGCACCTTCCTCGGGGAAACCGCTATGCAGCGCCTGCCCAGGGTCGCGGAATTCTATGCCAGGAGTATTGATCCTAGTCGTCTTGGGGGATTTATCGTGCCAACTGCCTTTAACTTCCTCTGAAAGAAGCACCTTATTAATGGTGTTGTGAAATAATTTTTTTTCTATCCAGATTTGAAATGGTCCACATTATTGATATGTATACTGTGCGGATGCCGATAGAGTTGAGAGCAGTTCGCGATAAGGACTTATTATGTCATATCATTAACAACATTCGTTCTCTTCAGGTGAGTTCATAAAGTGTAGGACAGCACAATCGTAAAGTGCCGCGCTAGTGGGCGGAGCTAGCGACGTTACACCCGTGACACATCTTTTGCCTGGCCGTTTGAATCGGGATGGTAAAGGGACGAGAAAGATCTATTTAATTCGGCATGGGGTCTTGCCTCCGCTTGAATTCACATATGGTCTGCTCCTCCAGTCAGTGCCGCACATCGCTACACAATGCGCGCGACAGATTGAGATTGTCTTGTCCTTCTTCCGAATTCATGTATGGAAATATGTCTGCACATGCCAATTCACATTTTCTGATCGAATAATATGCTGTTTAGAAGCAAGTCTACATGCCAATTCACATTTTCTGATCGAATAATATGCTGTTTAGAAGCAAGTTTCCAAGTTGAAAGCGGAAAAGAAGCAGGTGGAAAATGAACGCGATGAATTGAAGTGCATGGTTGACGATCTGAAGGAATTCCGTTTGAAAGCTGATCAAAGGTTATCGGAACTAGAACAAAGAGCAAAGGACGCCGAGAAACGAGCAGCAGATGAGACTTTGCGTAGAGAAGAGTTTGAACAAGACCTCCAGGTACTTGTTAGTCTTGCGGCAGAACTGCTATTGTTGAGTTCATTTCCAGCTGGAACGCGATGAGCGGGATTCTGCTTTGAGCACAATTGAAAATTTGAAAGATGAACTCTCGGAAGCAGAAAAAAAAGGCGCACGAACTCGAGGAAGAGCTTGATCAGTGTGAGGAAGAATGCGAGGAGCTTGAAGGAAAGGTAAGCAAGTTTGGTGGAGTGAAACTCGAACGGCCGACTAACGTAAGTGCAAAATGGTCCTTCCACGACACGTGTGGTGTAGGCTAGACGTCGCTGGTACTACCCAAGTTCGATAATTTAGAGCGTCGGAGATGATCTATGGAGCACAATCCCCGCCAACGGGGTCCTCATCGAAGGGGGGGGGGCGCATTTGGTCGCTCGA